TGAACTGTTTTTGTTTGTCTTTCGCTTCTGCAATTAGTTTTTGGCAAAACGCTGCATCAACAGCGGCCGCAGGTGACAGACACACTGATGGGCATGCTGGATAGCTTCTTTCTCACGCTCACCTGCCACGGCCAGATCGTATTAATATCGTCGAGCATCGAACAGCATTTGGGACATTGCCAGACGGATCTGTATGGCCAAAGCATACTGCAGATAACACACCCCGAGGACCACGAAATGCTCAAGCAACAGCTCATACCCACCGAGCTCGAGAATCTCTTCGATGCGCATGCGGAGCCGACGGACGCCGACGGTGAGCCGCGACAGCGCAGCAAGTCCGAGGAGGATTACATAGATCGCAAGTTGCGCGATGATCGACGCAGCTTTCGTGTACGGTAAGGTTTTTCTTTATAGTTGACTGGCAGCACTTTTCCAATTGGCAGTACTTTTTGTACATTGAAATCTATCCTAATAGGCCATACAACGTACACTGCATACATACATATATGATGTTTCGATCGCATTTTATTATAATTTCATATTTCTTTCTGTTTTGCATTTCACGCAGTTTGGCGCGCGCTGGCCCCCGCTCAGAACCAACCGCCTATGAGGTGGTCAAAATCGATGGCTGCTTCCGGCGGAGCGACGAGGCACCACGCGGCGTACGCTCCAATACGTTCAGCTCCAGCCTGCAGCTAATAAGACGCACGCGTGGCCGTGACGATGCCATACCGCTACACACAATTAGCGGCAACGATATTGTAAGTGCCCAGACATTCGCTAATATATGTATGCATATATTTAAACACATACATACACATATATGTATATGTGAGTATGCATATGCATAAGCATCAAAAAATCTGTTCGATTGAATGAGCTATTCAAATGAACGACTGAACTATTACAGTGTTCTATGAGCGCTGCATTTGCTCTTCGCTCAGTTGGTCAAACGGTTATAAATAAGGAACATTTAGTTCAGTTGTAGACAAATCGAAAAACACGACAAAACACGAAAAATCCAGCCGCTACGAATCGTACAGCGTTCATAAGAACGCGTCGTTAAGTGCAGTTAAACCGGTTATAAAAGCTGTCACTGGCCCAGCTATTTAAACGGTTAAACGGTTATGAGCGAGACGTTTTGCTCAACTGTTTGAGAGCGGCTGTGCAGCTGTTGACGAGCGTTAAGTTCAAATGAACTGTTCAGCCGGGACAATAAGTTCTATTGAGCTATTTAGTTAATGTTGAGAAGAGGAAAGGAATAACAGCTGCATAACAAGCCAATACGAATAGCTTAGGAGCAAATGATGTGATAAGCACTGCAAAATATAGTTTATAAATATATATTAATGTATTCGTTTAATGTAATCCGTTCGTTCTGCAGGTGCTGACAGCTTGTGCGCGAATTATAAGGCCGCCAAAGATCGTGAATCGTCTGTTTGATGCGAACACGCTGGAGTATCGCACACGGCATTTGATCGATGGCCGCATTATAGATTGCGATCAAAGGATCGGCATTGTGGCCGGCTATATGACGGATGAGGTGCGCAATCTGAATCCGTTCACCTTCATGCACAACGACGATGTTCGCTGGGTGATTGTGGCGCTGCGGCAGAGTGAGTGGGCGACTGTTTGTGTGCGAGGGCATTTCGATTTCATTGCGAATTTCTTTCAGTGTACGACTGCAACAGCTCGTATGGCGAGTCAACGTATCGGCTCTTCACGCGCAACGGCAACATCATTTATCTGCAATCCAAAGGGTATCTGGAGATTGACAAGGAGACGAACAAGGTGCATTCGTTCGTCTGCGTCAACACGCTGCTGGACGACGAGGAGGGCAAGCGGCGTGTGCAGGAGATGAAGAAGAAATTCTCGGTCATCATCAATACACAAATCCCACAGTCGACCGTCGATGTGCCCGCATCCGAGCATCCAGCACAGCTGGAGAAGGCGGTGCTCTGCCTGATCCAGAACTTACAGAGCAGCCAAGCGGAACAGAACGGCGAGCAGCTGGACGCGGACGATGTTGATGATGACGATGCCAATGATGATGGGGATGAGGTCGACGACGATGATGGCGAGGACGGCCTGGCGAGCCTGGCCGCCTTAAGCTATCCAGAGTCCCAGCAGCAGCAGCAACAGCTGCAACAGCAACAACAACAACAGCACCATCAGCAGCACCATCATCAACATCGTCATGGACATTTACAGCATAGCTTCCACGATGCCGGCTCCATGTCACAGGCACGTCTGGGCTCTGGCCATAGCATGGGCAGCTCGAAGACCCCGCCGCTGGCGCTGGTGCCGCCCGAGACAGCGTCGGTCAAGTCCTCCATATCGAAAAGCGTCAGTGTGGTCAATGTGACAGCGGCCAAGCATTTGCGCGGCCTGCAGGCCGCAACGGCTACCAAGTCGCCCAGCTCCAAGTCCGGCTCGACCTCGGCGCTGCTCGACAGCTGCAACTGCAGCTGCCTTGGTGAGGGCGACTGTGACTACTGCCAGGGTCCGCTCACGCCCGAAACGGTCATCAGCGGCACGTCTGTGCCGCTCAAGCGCAGCAGCAGCGGTGCACCGAGTGCAGCTGGCCCAGCAGATGCCCTGGAGGCGGACATTAAGCTGGCCAAACGGCGCTTCATGCCGAGCACAGGTGAGCACGATTTGGCATAGAATTGCCATTTGTATTGTATGTCTATATGGTTATAATATTTCTCATTTTGCTTTCAGCAGACATTGAGCACGTTCTGAGCAATTCGCTGGAGCAGATCGAACGGAACCTGCACCAGCAGCTGAACGTGGCTGCCCAGCTGCGTGATCAGAGCAATCGATACGAGCTGCCCCATGCCAATCAGCGCATCGATGAGATCCTGGTAAGTTGCTGCCCCACACAATCGTGGGCGAGTAGAGCCGCTAGTTAAGCTCTGTTCTTCGTGTCCCCACAGGAGGAGCACCAGAAGCAGAGCAAGCTCTACGTGAACATCAAGAGCGAATACGAGGAGCAGCTGCAGAGCAAGGCGAATGCCACGAAACCGGAAACCGATAGCCAGGGCAGCACCAGCAGCGGCATACCCTAAACGGGGCCATACCTATATAGATGTACCTATATATATATATACTTACATACATACACACATGCATACATATACGTATGTATATGAATTGAGGGTTTCAGCTGATGTGATAAGCAGCGAAAGCGAGTTGCAGCTTGACTCAGATGCACAGGCAAAAGGCAAAGGCAACTTTCGTCGAGCAACTCTTACAAGTGTTACAAACTAGCTAGAAGAAAATGCTTTCTTCGGCCCACCGAAGCTTGAATACCCTTGTGGACACATGGCCAGAGTCTTTGTTGATCATATATACATATATGTGAAGACAATTGAATGCAGCCTCAACTGAGTTTGGCAAACGGACTAATTGCTGAACATATTGATTATACATATATCTATATATAGAGAGAGAAAGAGAGAGAGAGAGAGAGAAAGAGAGAGAGTCACTCTGCAAGGGTAAAACAAAGGCAAATTGATGTACTTTAAAGTGCTAACACAAACCTATTTACAAAGGAAATGCGTATAGGGATCTTTGATGCTATATATAAATATATATATATATATATATATATATATATAGCCACATATAGATGTACAGCGATAAGTGGAATCGAACTAATGAGTGAGCATGCAACAAAAACCTATTTTAGAAAGGAAAAGGGTCCTGGACTCGCCCAGCGGCAGATTTGTTCTTACTTTTTGTTTCTTCTTATTTTAATTCTTGATAACTTTGACTATAACGTCGTTTACGTAAATGTGTTATTTTTTTTTATAAATGTAATTTGTATGTAGGCGTCACTAAAGTAAATAGTTAAAAATATATATAGTGCAAGAAAGTGTTTGTTAATTTAATGTAAATTTATAGTCACACACACACACACAATACAATTATTAGCTATACAATTTTTTAGTATATATATATAAATATCTTTATATATGTATCTGTATATACATATAAAGATAAACTACAAACTAAACGTGATAAAAGACTGTTACCAATTAATGTTAGCATTAGCTTACTATAATAATATATAGTAATATATGTATATAACTATATATGTGTACATATGTATACATATAACTATATACATATAATCTTACTTAAATTGGTTTAAATCAAATGGCATAGTTAAATGAAAATTTACGTTTTACCAACCATATATATTACTTATATATACATATATATATATATATATATATATATATATAAATGCATAAATGTTTTAAATGTTTTATACTCAACAATAGAGAGCGAGAATGAGAAATAGAGGGAGATAGCACAATAGAGAACGAGCATACATAGCACACATACACAGCATCTCTATGTCAATCTCGAGCCTCAAAAAAAAAAAAAAGTTTAAAATTTTTGTTATGTGCATAGGTGAATAAATATTTTAGTCTTACACTGTGAAAATGTTTGGAGCGCAAAACGGAATTCAATAACGGTTTTTTTTTTGTTCATACATAACCTCAAATGTTGTTAAGTTTGGCAACAATGAAACAGGCGCCAAGTACAATTTACAACTATATATACACATATATATATGTGTATATAAAAATACACAACATATATATATATATATTTATATTTACACTTACAATATGTAACTTAATGTTATACACACATATATAGAATCATAAGTAAACACAATTGTTAAATGTTTGTTATGCATTTGTTTTATAACATATTTTGCTTTTCGTTTTTATCTATCTCTAATTCTGTTTCTATATATATATACTTTTTTTTTTTTTTTTTTGAAATCAATTTACTATTAGGCTAAATGAATAGTGAAATAAACTTGTGTACCTATATATAAATTCATAAATATATATAAAGCTCTATATATGTATGTATATAAATATGCATAATACAATGCTCGTGTGCATTATAATTTATAGCTAAGTAGATCCATTATATGTTACGGACACGTGTGAACACTTTTAGGGCAAAGCAAGTTAACTATCTACAAAATGGTAAATACTTGTGTTTATTAAACGCCACAAAGATAAAAATACAAAACAAAGAAATTAATAAATAATAACACAAAAAATACAATTTTGCTCGTGCTTTAAATTATATACAAAATATACAATATGCAATGGATCAATTTTTGTTTGCAATCGGCACTTAAACTATACATGGGAACAGATTTGTTATTTTTCAATACAGTTGGCAACGCCACAGGTGCTTCAGCTACAGCTCTGCCCGGAAATAGCTTCGATTATTTCAATTGCAGCTGACGATGCATTTGCATGCCGATGATAGTTAAAATATTTAAGAACAATTATTTATAGCAATAAATATGAATAAATAATTTGTTTGGAAACCGTTTCAGTGGCACATTTGTGATAAAGGAAAATACTTTGCCTGGGACAGTTTGCCTAAATTTGAATTTTACTGGCACTGCAATTAATTTATCGTTGCAATAATTATCGATAGTGGCTAGCAGCACTTATCGCTGCAACGTAATCAATTTTAAATCACGTTTATATAGAGTTTAGTGCAAATACCATTCAAGCACGCATTTTCAGGCCCAGATTAACACCTGTGGCTGAGCGCAAAACAATTTTAATTGAAGGCTTCACCTCCGCGCCCAACGGCAGCAGCTCGAAGTGTCGTAGCAATTTGATCACAATTGTCTTCAGTTCGAGCAGAGCAAATCGCTGGCCAATGCAGTTGCGCGGGCCTGCACTGAAGGGTATATAGCTGGTGGTGCATTTGCCAGATCCCGAGTCGGTCATTCTATTGTCCAAATGCCTCTCTGGCCAGAAGCGCAAGGGCTCTGCGTACAGCTCTTCATCGCGCTGCAGCTGCCAGAGCAGCACAAGGACATTCGTGCCGGCTGGCACCCGTGCCCCGCTAGCTTCGCCCGTCTCCGCTGCCGTTAAATAGCGTGTGAATGCTAATTAAAATACATATATATTTAGTTTTAAGTTTACCAACCTAATGGCAAGTCCTTTTCCAGACAACGACCCACAGCTGGAATGGGCGGATAGAGGCGCAGCGACTCCTTGATTACGCAGTGCAAATAGGGCAGCTCAGCGAAGTCAGCATGGACGACGGGCCGATCCATGGCCGTGCCATAGTGTGAGTGAATCTCCTCGTACAAACGCTGCTGCACTGCTGCATGCCGCGACAGCAGATACAGGCAAAAGGATGCCGCGGATGTGGTCGTATCGTGACCCGCAAAGATGAATGTGCTCACCTCGTCGCGGATCTGGGCATCTGTAAGAGGTGCGCCATCCAAACGTGCCTGCAGCAATGTGTCTAGCAGAGCAGCCGTCCCCTGCTGCTCCGTGTGCAGCAGCTGGCAGCGCCGCTTGATGATCTCGTCGGTGAAATCGTGCAGGCACTTGATGCCCATCCACTGCTTGCGATAGCCACTGGGCCAGAGCAGGCGGAAGAACAGCGGCGGCAGCAGATGCGGTCGCATGAAACGAGTCGCCAAAATGTTGGTCACGCTGCCGGCAAGAAAAATGAATAATAATATGTGACGCCGCCCAAACCTCGATTAATGGATGCCACTTACTCCTTGACTGCCTGCACCACGGGCGCCTCCACATTCTCCTGCGCATCCAGACTGACGCCCATGGCCGCCTCGCTGATGATGTCCAGGGCCGTCAGGCACATATACGGATATATGTTGAAGGCTTGCGCACTCTCGCTGCCCATCGCGGCCAGCGGCTTCAGCTTGCCGACCAGGACATTGCACTGGCTGTCAAAGATCTTGACGTATTGCTCCAGTATGCTGAAGTGGAACGAGGGCGTTATTACTTTGCGCATGGCATGCCAATGCTCGCCCCGGCTGAGCAACAGACCATTGCCCAGCCAGCCACCCAGTGCGCCATAGACGACGCTCTTGCGCAGATGTTGTTTGCTCAAGAGCAGTGCGTCCACATGCTTCGGATCTGCGGTGACCAGCACCATACGTCCAAATGTGGTGGCCACAAAGCTGCGCCCGTAACGTGCCACATACTCCGCAAACTTCTCGTGCAGATCTAATTGACATCGAGGACCATCATCATTAGCACAGGGCCACATCAGGCGGCGGCTTCATACTCACTGTCCGGCTGGAAGCTGCGCATCTGCCAGACGCCTCCAATCACCGGTATGCGGGACACATTGGGCGCCACATGCTGCAGCAGCTGACGGTGCCTCCACTCCCTTTTGATCAACTGCAGCACAAAGCGCAGGCCAACCACTAGTAAAGCAAACAACAACAATCCGAGCAACATTGTTGTATACTCTATAAAGGAGGGTGAATATAAAACCTAGGTATATATAGCTTTCATTTAATTTGATAAACTACTTGATTTGTTAAAATATTCTTTTTCTAAGGCTGTTTGTACATGTATAAAAAATATTTGTAAAAATTGTAGATATGTAATACTAATGTAAATTTTAAAGAAAATAGTATAAACATATTTCTTTTGTTTTTTTATGCAAATTTAAATTTGTTTTTTTAACATATATTTTAAATAGTCTATAAGTTATAAATAGGCTTTTTGATATTTAAAAAAAAAAATTCGTCATTTTTCAACACTCGTCATGCTCGTTACGTATACGTTATTTATTTATCACCTCAATCTATTGCATTTAAATTTCACTGCTATCTACATATGTATGTGTGAGTGCACTTGCATATGGATATTTGATGGCCCCTTTGAAATGCACAGAGTCAGTGCAGATGACTATTTAAAAAGCCCGCACTTACCATTTTAATAACTCTCCATCGAATGTAAATAAAAACTTGTATACATTTTTCATCTGTGGACTTACGGTCAAGTGTACTAAATATAATTAGACTTTGTCACGAAATGCATATGTGTACAATCTGTTTTATAACAATGTCCCCAAGAGTGTTTATTTTATTGTTCTATTAACCGACCATGAAATGCCCTGTAAAATATCAATTTGTTATGGAAAACAAGTTGAAAAGCGGCGATTGTTAGAACTATCGATAGACGAAAAGGAGAAGGAAATCACATAAGGATTGGAGTACATAATAAAAGATCTAATTGGAGCGTTGGTATATTTGCAAGATCTCATTCATTCGCTTTAATTGGCACCAATTTAGTTGGCCAAAAATAATATCGATATATTCCAACTCGATAGACATGCAAAATAGAATGGCATGTGAAAAGTGTTTGTATATGGTCACTCTTAAACATTGTGACAATTTCGTTTAATTTTTCAATAGTGAAGTAAAGATCAAAACGAATTGAAAATATATGATGGCGAATAATTTAATAAAAAGTTTAAAATACCCGATTATCCATGCGTAATCCGCGAGGGTATGCACGTTGAATGACTGAGATAGCGATAATCGGAGAGAACCATAATAACAGATGTTTTCCGTATCAGCTGACGAAAACGTAAACACAAAAACAAAATAGCAAATATAAATAGTAAATTCCCAGATAGTAAAGACTGATTAATAACTTCAATTTCCATTAGATGTGCATTGTGATGAGCTACTATTCCAGGCAATGGCGTCGGTGTAGCTGCACGCCATTCACCGACCGCAACTTGAAGCTAACCCTTGGACATGGCTGACGTCCCAACTTCATCTCGAACATGGCGAACTTCTGGTCAATGTAGTTAGGCGCACTCGTCGAGGATGGCGAACTCTGTACGGGGGCTCGAATTAGCAGGGATCATGTTGCAACGCAACTGCAAGTTAAAGACATGCATATTAATTATAGTTCGTATTCCTCACATCTAGCGCATCTTATCTTCTGTGAAGGTGTGCATAATGATACGTATCGAATCGATGCCACCGGTAGACAGCGACTCTTTGACCTATGCTTGAGTTCGTTTAGATTCTGCAACCTTAACGGAATCTCGTTTATCTGATTGAACAGCCGTTGCTGGACGTTCTCATGCTGTGAGATGTCGCTTGTGGTTGTGTCTTGGCCCTCGAACATGTATGTGTCTTCGGGTATATCTTCTCTATGGTGCTCCGTTTACCCTGGACTGCAGCAGCGTATCAAGCATATGTGTCTTTTGCTGCTAGGCCTTGACGAGTGTCTCACGTCGTGAATGACTAACTGCAATACACACAACCATAACTCTGCGTGGAAGCAGGCGAGGATTGCACAATCTCTACTCAAGTTCACCAGCGAATAGCTGTGCAGGCAGCGGGTTAAAAGTCCGTGATTCAGTCAGTTCAATTTGATATATGTATGATCTCTGATTCCAAGGCTTAAGCTAGCAATTGTCAATGAATCCTTTCCCAGGTGAAAGAGTATCCAAAGTTTGATAACCACTGGAGTAACGAAATCACTTTGTATGAATATTATATTAAAAAAAAAAAGAAATATGATACACTAAAGCCAAGCCCAGTTATGGTAGAGACATCTATACTATGTACAGTTAGAGTAAAGATATATGAATAAAGCTAAAATCAATCAATTTCCAGCGTCTTGAAGCTGTGCGTGATTGTGTTGCAAGAGTTGTTGTTGTTGTTGTTGCTGTTGCTGTTGCTGCTGCTACTGCTGCTGCTCTTCTTCTTGCACTTGTCGATCTGCCAGTTGGAGGGTTCCATCAAATAGTCACTGACATAAGAAAACATTCGCGTTAACTCAACTATTCAAATCGAATGGCAAGTGAGACTTACCGCTGCTGCTGGAGCAACTGCACCCATTTCTCTTTCAGATGGGACATTTTGCCCGCCTCTCCGCCGTATTCCTCCGGCAGCATGGAGCGCGGAATGTGATTGTAGGGCGTATCCGCACCGGGCAAATGGAAGTGGATTAGCTTGAAGACCTCGCTCTTGATGAACGGCTTGACGATGGCCAGCACCTTGTCTAGGAAGGATGGACAGTTGAGTACATGAATCTCCTTGAGGCGCACCGGATGCGCCTCCTGCACGAACTTCATGTAGACGCGCAGCGAGCTGAGCACCGTCTTGGTTATGTGGCGCAGCGAGTATCCGGCCATGTCAAAGATGGGTATCTCGCCGTCGGATAAACGGCCATCCGTCTCCGTCGCGAAGCGACAGTCGGCGACCATAAAGAAAACCTTGATGCCGGCCGTAAAGTTGAACTGGCAATGGAATGTGGCAAGTGGCAAGTGGCAATGGCATTTGGAATGTGGCACGCAACAAGTTGCAAGTTACAAGTTTACAATTTGAACGGAATTGATTTATTACAGCCGCTGCTCACCTTGTCCGCATCGTGGTCAATCAGGCGATAAAATAGCAACTTGTTGTTGTCCGGCGTCAGCCCGGGCAGCGGCACCAGATCTCTGCGAGCGGCACAGAAACCATAATTAGCTTTGGCTAGATATTGCCACAAAGTGGCAAACCGGTTGCAACGGCCCCGCCAGCCAGAGATGGGCACGACTCGTGATTCGCTTCGGCTGTCGGATCGGTGCCAGTTAATCTACGGCAACGTGACTTTGGCACGGAGGAGGCGCTGATTGCGTGACACGACACGAATTACACGCTGATCCTGACACGAAATACATGTTGATCGAATCCCTGATACTAACTAGAGTCAAGTTCTGTCAATGCTTGAAGGGAAATGTGCGAGCTACAAACTGCTCGAGTCCTTGACTAGTTCATGACTATAGGTTAATTGCCTAATCTAAGCAGAACTAAAATGGATCGGAACTTTGACATTGACAGCTAGATATTTGACGATTTGACATGAGCTTTGCAAGTAAGTATAGAAATGTACATAAGAGTACTACTATTACTACATACATACATATGTATGTATACTGCTACTATGTACATATATTACAACTTATTCGAGAGTACTTGGATATCGAAGAGTCTATATTGAAATTTAACAACAGCACATTATACATTTTAAACAGTATAAATAGGTCTACCTAGAGTCCTTTTGATGATGCAATATCTCTATATGCATCTCAATTTTATTTCCTTCACTTTCGTGCTCTTCGCGTATCGCGTCTTGATTTGAATGCATTTGGCACGCGCCCATCTCTAGCCCATCGCGGTCATGCACTTACGCGACTTGCAACAGCTGCTGGGAGCTGGCGTCCATTGGATCGCGGTCGATGAAGATTTGCGGATGCTTGTTGCGCATGGCATAGTTCAGCTGGAGCAGATGCTGGGCGGCAGCCACGTCGCCGCGCGTCGTGTGCAGATAGCGACGCAGCAGTGTGGACGCTAATCAATATAACGTGGTAATTGCAGTTGCCACAAATGTGCCCGCCCCACCGAGGCAGTGAGCGGGAGAACAACAGACCGAGAGGGAGAAAGAGCGAGAGAGAGAGAGAGAGAGGGAGAGAGAGAGAGCAGAAAAGGTGCAATTCAGTTGTGGTTAATGTGGTCGCCAGCGGGTTATGCAACTGGCCGTGTGTTGCAATTCAAGTTAGTTAACCCACAAGAGGAGTGATCTAGTCGGCACTGACCGACTAGCAGATACCCTTGATATAATCAAACATTACAAAATGCATTCTATACGACCTTTACTCGAATTGTTCTCGCCCTTAGCTAATGTGATGATCGACAGTTAGGGCTATTGGAGGAGACTCAAAATTTGAAATCTCATGTGAGACTTCTTTAGTTCCGAGTCCGAGCCCTTTGGTCTCAGTTAAAGTAGTTATTCTAGAATGATCTTTATTGCTTGTTATCTTCCCTTATCTGCATTCTCTATTTGGTAATTGTACAACCTATCCTCGCATATGCCTTCCAACTGCCTCCATTAACCCATAATACCCCATTCTTAATGCATACAAGTTTTAATAACTTAACCGATCAAAGTGATAGCCCAAGTTAGAGACACGACTCTTCGCTCACCTGGGCAAATGCTAAGCACGAATATCACCTGGACAGGGTTTACGTAATGCTGGGCAATCAAAATCTTAAATGTGATTATGTGTTCATTTTGGTTAAAGACTTGCTAGATTTGCGTCTAGATAATAACAGCGATTGAATCACAGAGAATGGGCCTCCAGTTTAATGGGAATAACCCGAAACAAAAGAACTTTGAAGCTGTACTTTGGATCGCTTAAAATATTAATTACGACTATAATAATGGCTTTTAATTGAAACAATTCTCGATATTTAAGTTAGCTACTGTAAGCTATTTTAAGACCGACTTTATATTATAATTATAACCAGATAAAACGAATATCTAAAAAATCAATTCATAAATTTCAAGCTGTTCTTCAGGTTAAGTTAGCGCATTAATAATGGAAATATATTAGGTGGAAGGTAAACAAGTTTCAAAAGCCCATTCTAAAATTTCGTGAGTTTGCTCCTATATCTTGTGACGTCTAATTAAACGCTAGGTTTTATTTATTGATATAAGCAGCGCTTTAAATTGTTGCAGTGCTCGAAGTACTTGACAATGTAGACATATAATTCAATGTGCTGGTTCTCCACTTTGCACTTCATTAAAAACGTTTTTTGTTTTTTATATTTTAATTTTTTTCTTCAACCTATCGCTAATTAAATATTCAACTAAAAGTGTAAATCTTTTAGAAATATATATTCAATTGTTCTTGAGATTTATTGCTTAATATATACATACATGTATTTATTACATACAAATGTATATATATTTAAACAAAACTTCTATATTGGCTTGATTCTATTCATTAGCTGCATATAAAATTTTCTGTTTTCATCGAAACTCAACTTAAAGTTAATTTACGCAGTGGCAGTTAAATGTAAACTATCGATTAATGCGATCGTTTTTAGTCCTGCGCCTAGTTCTACATTCCCTTTTATCCCTTTATTTTCTCCGCTCTTTTGCCCCTTTACATACAAATATTCAACGGCAGCTGCGGATGCCCCTTAATTAATTCTTGAAGCTCGGCCACGCGCTGCGCCATCAGCTGTTCGGTATCCTTAATGTGCACCATTTCCAACACTGACCCGAGAGAACAACAAGTTGAAACTTCAATTAATGACTTTCAACCGAGAGAATATAAAAACCGTGTCTGTGCGCCGCTAATTCGCGACTGCAACTGATTTGTGTGTGAAGTTTTTCGGGCAGCGCCGCTGCTGCGGCTGCTACTGCCGCTGCCGGTGCTGCTCGCAAAAGTAAAAACAAAGAAACAAACGAAAATTTAGCCAAAGCACGGGATGGGGAGAGGGGAGTGAGTGTGTGTAGCATGTGAGTTTAGGTGAAGGCATTGCACTCGCCGTGCGACTCAAGATCTGCAGACTGTCCCTATCTCTGTCTCTCGTTCTCCCTGCCCAGCGCTGTCAGCTTAATTTTGTGTGTGTGTGTGTGTGTGTGTGAGCGCATGCGTGCCTATGTGTGTGAGAGAGAAAGAGAGAGAGAGATTGTCGCAGCGGGAGTGCAGACGGCTGGGCTTTTCATGCGAATTTTTGTTGTTTTTTTTGGTCTGTTGGGCTATTTACGTAACCCAATTGCAATTGTTTCATGTGCTGGAAGGTCGACTGTATGTGTGAGTGAGAGAGTGTGCGTGTTCTATGAAGCGTACATGTATGTATGCGTGTGTCCAGCGATCGTCTACAACTTCTTTTAATCACGTTGCTATGTAAAAATCTATGCACGTTTAAAATACCCTATCATGATGATAGTACTGGGTATGTTAAGCCAGCTAGTCAAGTCGGCGAAACAAAAGCAAATCTAACAGATATATTTGATGCTAACAAAATTAGTATTATTAAATTGTAAATAATAATACATATGTACATAGCTTAAACTTAAATTATTTTACGTATTCAAATAAAGGGTATGTTAGTGCATGTTTCTTTTCATTCGTCTTTTTTTCAGTTTTCGGCGTTTTTATCGCGACATTGGCAAACAATTTTCGTATGCGCTCCACTTGCTATGCCCAACGCTGCTGCCCCCAGTTGTCGCCCTTCCACACCCTTCCTTTGACAGCCCAGTTGCCGCCTCGTCGGCTATACATATACATACATACATACATACGTGTTTCGCAAGCTAAGCCGTGCGACACAGCAGCTACACAGACCCAGCTTGTATTAAAAAGGTGAAAAATGAAGAAGCAGCACATCGGCTACACCTTAATAACAAAAGAGACAGAAACAGCAACAGAAACAATGATACCCGATAGTCTGAAGCGACACTTTTGCAGAATGCCTAATGAAAACAAAAGCCACAACAACAACGAGAACAGTTATTCAGCCAAATGGAGATGCGTGAATGCCCTCACATGTATCGTATATATACATACATATGTGTATGTATGTATGACTAAAAAGAAACAAACTGAAACATAGATTTTGATTATTTACGAGTAAATTAATATGACTTTTATACTTGTTATTATTATTTTTGTTCATAATAATACAGTTTTATTATAAGCTAAGCTCCTCTAGGTTAGGCAAGCTCGACAATATAGCTAAAATACTCAAATTGCTAGGGTATTGGAAGCGCTCTGAACTGAAGCTGAGAAGTTGCTTTGCAGGGCATTTCCATACTTTTTAGCGTACTCGTATATTTAATGCAGTCGTAAAATAGACGCACGCAGCTTTAAAAACAATAATAACAACAGCAAATACAAAAGACCCCGCACATGACACCAAGTTAAATATTTTGTATGTTACTTTTATTGAAAACTGTTTGACCTTGGATAACACAAATACGCACACACATACATACATACGAGCATTTACACACACTCGTTTTGTGTAACTTGAGAAAATTCGGTTTTGCAGTTAACAAAAAGTGCGCCAAAAGAAAAAAAAAAAGCAAAACAAACCCCGCTTAATACGTTAGACACAAATTTTAAAGCCAAGGTCAATCAACAGAGTGGAAAAACAACTTATATTTAAAATCGGTAGCAAATGTCAAGCAAATATTTGGCTTAGAACCTGTTGTCTAAATCTGAATGAATCTTTAGAGCATATGTATATAATATAATACGTACATATTGCATATTTCTTTATTTTTCAGGAAAAGTGCCTGCGTCACGATCAATCAGCAATTTCGGCATTTTTATGATGACAATTGCAGGTTAAGTTTTTCCTACCTTTCAATTTATCTATATTTGCAGTTATGTATGTGCATATGTCTGTATGTATGTCTGGGTGTGATTCTGTGCTCATGCATGTTTTGATTGTGCAAACTTTGCACAATTTACCGGCGATTGTATGTAAATGGTGCAACTGGCCTACAATCAAGTTAAATTAATGCAAATGTTTATTTTACAAATTAATGTAGCTCTAGAATTTTTTGTGCCAAATCATTTGATTTTAAATTGTAAGCAGAATTGGAAAATAGTATGAACAATTCTACTGATAATTGAACACACTGATGCAATGTGTTTACATTTTGCTTATTAGCATATATCTTAAATATAAAATAAAATGACCATTAAACTAACATTGAAGAGCGCGCTTTTATTTTTGAACATATGTCTTATAGCAAGCAGCCGCTGTCCGCAATGATCAGTGTCCAGTGCGGCAAAGAAGCGCTGCCGCTGCTCAACACTGTGAACAGCCGTAAACTGTCAACTGTCAAGAACGCGCCATGTTTTTGCTCACGCACGCATTACAGTGGTAAGAAGAAGCACGTGCTACAAAACTTAGGCAGGCGAATAAAAAGCAAACAAATTGAATTTGTTGAAAGCAAAAGCGACAAAAAGGCATCCAATTGCACCACCTATTACAACCAAACAGAGGCGCCATCATCGGCCATAGGTAATTATAAAATGGCGCAGCAATAACAAACTCTGTTTGCAAAACATTCGCCGTAGAAGAAGCAGAACGCCGCGCTACAATAACAGCAAGCAGAGAGGGTGAAAAAAAAAAACACGGGGAAAATTGCAACCAGCCGCAGCGACAGCGGCAGCGCAGACTCTGTCGACGAGAGAGCGGCATTTGCTCGTTAGAGGCCAATTGAATTGCAAATAACCAAAAAAGTACCGCGTGGTTAGATTGTTTTCATTATTATGATTGTCGTTGATGTTGTGGCAGTTGAGCATAAGATAGACGAGTAACATGAGAATAGAAAAATATATTTGCAGAGTCCAGCATTGAGTGAAATTGAAAAACGGAATTAAGTTACGCCATGGTGCCCATTGGAGCCGTTCATACCGGCCATCCCGGCGTTGTGCATCAACAGCAGCAGCAACAGCAGCCGATGCCAACGGCGCCTAGTGGACCAAACACGCTGCAGCCATCCGTGTCATCGACTTCGACGAACACAACGTCGAACAAGAGCTCGATGTCGGTTAAGCCCAATTATACGCTCAAATTTACACTTGCCGGTCACACCAAGGCCGTCTCCGCCGTAAAGTTTAGCCCAAACGGTGAATGGCTTGCCAGCTCGTGTAAGTTGATCACAATTGTTGTTAATAATTTGGATTAACATTTGGGCTTTGCAGCTGCCGACAAACTCATAAAGATCTGGGGCGCCTATGATGGCAAATTCGAGAAAACCATTTCGGGCCACAAGCTGGGCATTAGCGATGTGGCCTGGTCCTCTGACTCACGGCTTTTGGTCAGCGGCAGCGATGACAAAACGCTCAAAGTCTGGGAGCTGAGCACCGGCAAGAGTCTGAAGACGCTCAAGGGTCACAGCAATTATGTCTTCTGCTGTAACTTCAATCCACAGTCGAATCTGATTGTGTCTGGCAGCTTCGATGAGAGCGTACGCATTTGGGATGTGCGCACAGGCAAATGCCTGAAGACGTTGCCCGCTCACTCTGATCCCGTGTCGGCAGTGCATTTCAATCGTGATGGCTCGCTGATTGTCAGCTCCAGCTATGATGGGCTCTGTCGCATTTGGGACACGGCCAGCGGACAGTGCCTGAAGACGTTGATCGATGATGACAATCCACCCGTTAGCTTTGTCAAATTCTCCCCCAACGGCAAATACATACTGGCCGCCACCCTCGACAACACACTGAAGCTATGGGACTACTCCAAGGGCAAATGTCTGAAGACCTACACGGGTCACAAGAACGAGAAGTATTGCATATTTGCCAATTTCTCTGTAACTGGCGGCAAGGTGGGCTTGTGAACTTGTGAACTCTCAATGCAATGGCAGCATTTCATTATTTATTTATTATTTCTTATGCAGTGGATTGTCAGCGGCAGCGAGGACAACATGGTCTACATATGGAATCTTCAAAGCAAAGAGGTAGTACAAAAGTTGCAAGGACACACGGATACCGTCCTCTGCACCGCCTGTCATCCCACAGAAAATATCATTGCATCGGCTGCGCTGGAGAACGACAAGACCATCAAGCTCTGGAAGTCCGACACATAGGGTGCGGATGGTGTCTTGTACCAGCAGCACACACACAAAATCACACATAAACATTTCTTTAATAATCTTATTTTAAAACTATTTTTAACTGACCCTTTTTTTTTAATTTAAAAAAAGTCATCTAAAAACGCGATTCAGCAGAAATGGAACATTCTAAGTTACAATTGCAACTAATTGATTGCAATTATGTATATTTAAATATTTATTAGCTAATGTATTGGCCACTTAAAAAACAAAAACAAGAAATCTATGAAAATCCTTTAATTTTTATACTTTTACTTAAAATTATATTTAAGTATGAATCGACACACACACAGTTAACTCTCACACAAGAAACAAGAGCAACAATCGTGCAAGGAATGTAAATTTAAAATAAAAACAATTTAATCATAGTCTGACCTTTTTGCCCATCATTTGTGAGTGATTTTTTTTTTTTTTTACTTTTAATGATTTAAATTGCTTGTGAAGAGGAACTGAAATATACATATAAGTAAACTGGATTAAGTTAAAACAAAGTTTTTCAGAAAAAAACGAGCAAAGTCAACTACAGCTTTGATGTATTTGTAGTCATAAGCTTTTGAATCTAAATCGTGAAAATTTAGTTTTAAAATTTTAATGTCAAATCTGAAACAAAAACCTTTCCGGCAAAAAGCAGCTAATACTGCACACCGTAATGTAAATTTAAGTGGTTTTTAACCTTTAACATTCGGATAAGAACAAAAATAAAAAAAATTAAAATTAAAATTAAAATTTGTAATTCGAAGCAAAATTATTTGTGTTGGTAAATACATTCAGTGCTGTTAAGGCGCATTGGCAATAGCACCTTTGTTGGCAGTCCGATATCATCGATAACATTTCCGATTATTTTGGCAGCACGGGTGGCCATCACCAATAAATAATTTCGTTTAAGTGCATTAGGCATTCATTTAATCCGTGTTTTTGTGTTGTGTTTTACCCACATTTTTAATCAATATGGTAAGTTGGCACAGCTGTTGCTATTTTTTAGAGAGCAAATAATATGTTTCGTTTGTTTTTACAATTGTTGTCTTTTTCTCTTGTTATTTACAGGCAGCATACACCGAGGATCAGTTGGCTGGTGAGTATGCGTATGCGTGTGTGTGCATGTGTGTGTGTGTGCGAATGTTGTGGAATGCGTGTGTGTAAGTGGGTGTTGGTTTGGAAACGGGCGCAGAAGTTCAAAGTGCCAACTCAAAGCTTGGCAAGCAGCGAAAACGGCAAAGAAAAAACCACAAAACAGCACAAAAGTATTTGTGTATACGTTGTCAACATGTCTCTTTGTGTCTGACTATGCTCGCGTATGCGTGTGTGGCTGTGTATGTGTATGTGTTACACATCTTCATATGCGGCGCATGAATCATTGATAAAATAAACACATAAAGCGGCCAACGAAAGCAGCCATACGATCGCGTCAATGACTCACACAACGAACGCGCAAAGCAATAACGATTTACAGTTAAGTGACATCTTGAAGGATTTGATTGGCTGACAGAATGGCAGATTGAATGGACTGACTGACCGACTATCTGCTACGCCAGGACAACGGCGCAAACTGCCTCGAGCTCGTCTCAGCTGCGACTGCAACAGCCGCCACTGCAGCTGCCGTCGCTTGCATTGAGCATTCAACGTCTAGATACAAACATTCAACGTTTTTGGCCATATCCATGTTGGCCGCGCTGGCTGCCATTTACGGCGCCTTTTGTGGGTCAACACGCGCCGCATGGCCCTGGCCACGCCCCGCCCCCCGACTCTGACATCGTCCCGCCCAGCATTGGGTTTTTACTTTACGCAATATGCTGTTAAAATTTTTCGCCATTCTGATAACTTAATCAAAATCTACTCGATTGCTTGTCGCACAGCGATAAGTTGTTGTTGTTGCTCTTGTTGTTGCTGTTGATGCAGTGACGTCAGTTGACCGCATTGCACGTATTGATTTACCTGAACGTCGGGCACGACGCATCGTTGCTGCTGCCGCTCGACGATTGCCTAAAATGGGCAAAATTCTGTTGTTGTATTTAATACCATTTTTGGCCGGCTAATAACAGCAACAAAAACAAAAGCAGAACCAAAGAAATAAATAAACAAAAAATGAGCGAAAATTGAGCAGCGGCATAGCGAAGAGCAGATGCCCTAGCAGAGATAGATATACATATGTGTGTATACATGTATATCTTTAGCTAAGGCAAATACTCCTCAGACATCAGCAATTTCAGCAGAGTCAATCAACTGTTGCGGCATATGGCGGCTATATATTTATATCTGATAATCTTACATAGTTGTAGACAGAGAAGAGAGACTAAAGTCGCGCTGGATTCCCTGAGGATGAAGTAGCTAAAAAAAACCTATGCTGATCTAAAATTTATCCGAAACTGACATCAATCAAGTATTTATCCAGAATGATAGTCAAGAATGAGCGAGAGTCTATATACAGCAGTAACTGTATATATATCCATAACTGCTGTTGCACACTTAAAGATTTCCATAAAGTACCCTTTGGCAGGGTATCAATGAGCACAGTAAAGACCTCTGCTGCCGCAGCCGCATGCTGCGCAATCTGTTGCAGCATCGACTCAGTAGCAGGCAGTGCAGCCAGGCAAACAGTTGAGATACTTGTAATTAATTGAGATCGAATATCACTAGAGAGCACCATGTACTATTACACGGCACACGTGAAGCCCACCTTTACCACGCTCGAAGGTTGCAGATATACATATAGATTTTGGCTAGCTCTTATCTCTATTCTTGCATCTCTATCTAATCGACATTTGCTTTGCCCTTTTGCAGAATTCCAGGAGGCCTTCAACCTATTCGATAATCGCGGCGATGGCAAAATTCAGTTGAGCCAGGTGGGCGAATGCTTGCGTGCATTGGGCCAGAATCCCACCGAATCGGATGTGAAGAAGTGCACCCATCAGCTGAAGCCGGACGAGCGCATCTCGTTCGAGGTCTTTCTGCCCATCTATCAGGCCATATCGAAGGCGCGCTCCGGCGACACAGCCGACGATTTCATTGAGGGCTTGCGCCATTTCGATAAGGATGCTAGTGGCTACATATCGTCCGCTGAGCTGCGCCACCTGTTGACCACGCTCGGTGAGAAGCTCACCGACGAGGAAGTTGAACAGCTTCTGGCCAACATGGAGGATCAGCAGGGCAACATCAACTATGAGGAGTTTGTCCGCATGGTTATGAGCGGTTAAACCATTGCCGTCAATTGCCAGGCAGTGGAGGAAATGAAGAAGAATGAAAGACATCAACAACAGCAAGATGAAAAAAAAAAAAGATGTAGAGTAGGAACACTCACCTGCCATGTTATTAGCTAGCCGTTCATTCCGCCAAAAGTCCAATTCCAATATTCCAAGTTAATTTCTCTCTTATATTTGTATATTTTTGTATATTCTTGCATTTCACGGCAAATTGATATGATTCCATATAAAACAACAACAACAACAACAACATCAACAACATCAACATCGATGACGACAAAGAGACGACCTACATACAGCACACAAAACTAACCATTGTTTCAAGCAGGGTAAAGCACATCCTCGGAGAGGTCGCATCGTATTATACTAAATTGTTCGAGTTTCTTATTCAAAACAAAAACTTATCTTTATTTCTCTACACACACATACAAATATACACTCAACACACATACACACACACAATACACATACATATATAGATCCGTAATGGAACTCAAGTCTTTAACGAGTATCGTAACAAGTATTGCTAATTAATGATTTTGATATCTATGTATATATATATGTATATACATTAGAGAGAGAAGCGTATAATTGAACTTAATGCGCATTTCAAATTTTTACATGTTTTACTTTTTTTTTAATAATTTAATAATATATATTTAATAATTGAAACGAATGAAAGTAGATCTTTTTACAAAAGAAACGTACTTAAAGTTATTAAAAAAATATATGAAACATATAAACAATAACCTGCATTTTACATATTTTGTTGACAATATTTAAAATTAACAACGAAAATTGAAAGTACAGGGCTGTAGCATTTAGCTTTATGTCACTCTTAAGTGCAACGCTTAGCAGCAACTGAAGCATTAATAATACATTTCCAATCGCACTTAATGCAGTGATGATTAATGCGTACCGAGAAAATGACAAAACATTCATGATTGGCTCTTGTGAGTAATTGAAAATGATGTCTAAGAAAATTAACTCAATGCGTTGTCTAAGTGTTGACTTAACCAATGAGTCGCCTATTGTAGCTGAGGTATTTTAATGGTATTTTTACCATGCCATCTGCCGGTCACACTGGCCGAGCCACAGTATAGAAATAAACAAAAGCAAATATGTTGTATTCAATTTGAGCTTTATGGATTTAAAGCAGTGCTTAACTGGTTTTCCTTAATTAGCGCCTAGCGTTGTTTTAATTTATTTTAGTTGCGCTTCTTTTTTAAGCCATGCCGAAAACAGCCGGCGTCGTAGCCACATTGGCAGGAGGTGGCGAACCCAGTTCACCAGTGCAAAAGGTTTGGAAGCCCGAATGTGAGTAATAATTTGTTGTATCTCTGCCATTTGTTGATTAAGTGCACTGAATTGCAGTGTATAAAATACAACTGGACGCACCGGCACCCCATCCTGTGCGCTGTCAGCGCACCTTACCTCTGCCGCCTGCTAACAGCACCGCCGACGCCGTCGAAGACAACAGCCAGGCGGTGCGTCTCTATGGCAGCGAATATCATGGCGTGATGGGACACCTGGAGGCGGAGCAGCTGCTGGCAAATGCCCCCGACGGCAGCTACCTGGTGCGGCGCAGCCCCAAAACGGATGGCTACTATACGCTGAGCGTGCGCTTCAACAAACGCTGCAAACACTTCAAGGTCTTCCACAAGCCGGGCAGCGGCCATCATTTGCGCGAGCAGGACAAACATTATGAGACGGTGCACGAGATGGTCGCCGATGGTCTAATTAACTTCCATATGCAGCTATATGCCAGCCCCATTATACAGCAGATCAATCAGCAAACCAAAAACTGTTACCAGCAGAGTCCATACATGACGCTGAATCGTCGCAAGCTGCGCGCGCTCTCCAATGAGCTGGGCAAATCAGCCAGTGTGGACACATCCGATGCAGCAGCCCCGATGCCCTCAGTGCAGGACAGTTCGCCACAGCCACAGCAGGATCAGCAGCAGCAGCAGCAGCAGCAGCTGCCCCAACAGGATCCCATGCCGCTGGTATATGAGAAGCCCCACAACTTCAAGGTGCACACGTTCAAGGGTCTGAACTGGTGTGAGTTCTGTGCCAACTTCCTGTGGGGCTTCACGGCACAGGGCGTCAAATGCGATGCATGCGGCTTCATGGCGCACAACAAATGCTCGGAGCTGGTGCCTCCAAAGTGTGTGCCCGATCTGAAGTGCATACGGGGTGTGTTTGGCACCGATCTGACCACCATGGTGCAGCTGCATCAATGCAACATCCCGTTCGTGGTGCGCCGCTGTGTGGAGGAGGTGGAGGCGCGTGGCATGCTCCAAGAGGGCATCTATCGCGTCTCCGGCTTTGCCGATGAGATCGATGCGCTCAAGCTGGCCCTGGACCGCGATGGCGAGAAGACGGACATGTCCGAGGGCGCATATGGCAATGTCAATGTCATTGCGGGCACCTTGAAGCTCTACCTGCGCCTGCTGCCCGTGCCGCTAATCACGTTCCAGGCCTACCCCAGCTTTATGGCTGCGGCCCGTAAGTAGCCAGCGATTGAGCTGTAATTGAGAAATTTGGAATTTACACGAATGTCCCTTCCCACAGGCAGTGGATCGCCCGCGGAGCAGCTCCAGCTTATGGCGGAGGCCGTGCGTCGCCTGCCACCGGCGCATTTCAATTGCCTGCAGTATATGCTGGAGCATCTGAAGCGGTAAATCGAATCGTGTCCGGTGTCCATAGTCCATATTTGATATAAATTCTTCTGCCTTTGCCATTGCAGCGTCGCCTCCCATTATGCCGTCAACAAGATGAATGAGCACAATTTGGCAACTGTGTTTGCGCCCACGCTGATTGCCACGCCCCAGCATATGACGAATCTCACGGAGGAGATATTTATGCTCTCCTCGCTGATCACGCACTGCGAGAAAGTCTTTGCCTCCAGCTCGAGAAAGCAATAAGCCGCATCTCGCTCTTCCACTCGCGCCGTCTCTGTCTTATCCATAACTCAGTCCATCTCTTTCTGATTGGAGTCCTTAATTAGTTGTAATATTTTAGCCAAGCGTTTATTTATTTGTGGAAAAACGAAAACATTTTGCCGCATTCTCGATGCATTCACCAAAAACTTAGACTCTAAATAGACTAAATTATATATGTACATGTATTAACAAGCCTTCCACATATATATATAATACATGTAGAGCATACCAAACGATACTATTTATACACACACTTCAAATAAGTTTTGATTCTTCTTTGGAATTAGCATTGAGTGTTGTAAGAATTAACGTACGAATTTAGCAGCAAAATCTTATGAAAATCGATTTTCAAATGTGGTTAGGCCAATAAAACGATAAGGGAAACGAAATATTTATATATTTATATTATATATTTCAACTATGTTAGTCATAAGCTCAAATCAATGAAACGTATCAAATTTTGAATCTTAACTCGAGCCAATCGATTGTTTCAATTATATCCTATTATATATTATTATATATCTTTTATTTAGGTTAATCTATTATCTTCAAATTTTGCCAAAAAAAAAATCTATATTGAATCTAAATATTTTATTAAAATATCTCCATATTGATGAATTAAGGGGATTACATTTCTTGACCCACACAGTATTCTAGACATCTATATCATTTATTTCTAGAGATATAATCGTATCACTATATTTTAAGGCCTATATCAATGCCTTATATTAATTATATTTTTCATTGAGATTTTTTTTGTTTGTTTAAAATTGGTAAAGCAAATGCAATGAAAATCTAATTCAAACTCGAATCATAACTGAAATTCGATCATATGTACATTTTTTTATATTTTGGTTATAATATTTATTATCATATTTTGGTTTAAATATTTATTGAAGCATTGCACTATTCGATAAAGATAATTCTATTAACAGAAAGCTCCAATTTAAGATATCCAATATACTATGCTGATATAGATAGTATATTGGAGATCTTAAATTGAAGCTTGAATTCGAACTCTTTAGGACTTTACAATATCATTTTATTTATTGTTAATTTATTGCCGTTTGTCTCAATTTGTCGATATTGAATTCGAATTCGAAATCTTTCAGTTCAATTCGAATTCGAATATCATATAGAATTCCCTATAGAGAGCTCTAAGGCATACTAGATGCAAAAACAGAAAACAAAAACATAATAAAAAATCGATTCGAATTTGAAACAAAGTGTTTGAAAACTTTGTTTAAATTCGAGTCAAATTTTGAAGCGCCTAGTAGGCATCGTCAGACAACCCGACGATGTGGGCTGGAGCAGTTGAGCTCTAGGCTCATTCTACTTTAGGGCAGACATCGAAATTGTCGTATAAAAAAATTGAGAAATAATAAAATTTTTGGAAAAGTATAAAATTATAAGTATAAAACGCAAAAACAATAAAGTGCACAAAATTATATATTTATACATATATATATATACATATATATCTATACAAAAATGTTGAGCTCTACGTGCCACCGAGACTCGGACAATTGTCCGGAACAATCCTCTGGCGATCATGACGAGCAATTGACTCTCGCCATAGCTGCGATGAGAGCTGCCGTAGAAATGAGTAGTGCATCCACTGGTGACTCTGCTAGCGAATCCGAGTTACTTGCTGGCGAATCCAATTTACCGCTATCGCAGCAAAATGCTGGTGTATCGCCTTTCGTGGCTATTGGTGCACCCGAACATATGTCGCTTGAGAAGTACAAAGCTTTAGGTGCACGGGCACGGGCTTATGAGGCTCGGGTCCATTCGCCCATCTATAGGTTCGGCAAATTCTGGACCTGCTCGGAGATAATTGCCAAGCTGCCGCACGTGATGAAGCTGTGGGAGACCTATCGGCTGTTCGTACGTCCACCCAGCATCGCGACCATTGACATCCTGAAGGTGGGCGAGTGCCTGCGCGCGATGGGCGCCAACTTCGAGGATACGACTATGAAGGCCAGTTTGGTGGAACGTCTGCTCACCTTTCCGCACGTAAAGCCAGCTACCTCCGCCAACTTTGAGCTGGTCCTGGCCGTCTACAGTGAGGTGATACAGGTGGATCCGGTGCCCGATTGCGACATATTGATCAAGGGCCTGAGCTGCTACGACAGCTTGAATACGGGCAAGGTGGCCGCTAAACGACTGCGCCGCATCCTGACCACCATGGGCCAGCGGCTCTCCGATGGGGAGGTGAGCACCCTGCTCGACTCCATGACGGATGCTGGCGGCGATGTCGACTATGTGACCATGATGAAGACCCTCTTCCCCACTGATACCGAGACCCCCATCAAGCTGAAGCAGGTGCGCATGTATCTGACGGCCCTCGGCAAGCACGCCTACCACATGGACCTTACGAAGCGCGACGACATAATACGAGCGCTGCGCAAAACCGACAAAGAGAAGACCGGCTATGTGAATCACGCTACCATGATAGAGCTGCTCGAAAAGAGCGGTGAGAACTTCACAGTTGCCGAACTTGTTGCTCTCGCCAGCGGTATAAGCAATGACGAAAAAAAAATTCATTACCGCCATTTCCTCCAAATGATCATGAACAACTGAACGAGTGGGACAGCGAGAGAAGAGCGAGAGAGCTCATGCGACTGGCTGTGAGAGTATATTAACAAATGTGTATTCTGTCTGCATGCCTATCAAACTCATTTAGGACTATCATTTTAAAGTTTACCCAAATTATTACGAAGTATTCCTATCTACATACATATGTACATCTAAATAATCAGTGCTCAGCTGTACTAATTCTCTGCGGCGAAAGTACTACGACACAAGGCACGACAATGTTCGTCCTTAATATTTCAATCGTCAATTAAAGAGAATACTGTTTGAACTTTAATAGCCCTGTTTTATTTCTCTTGATATTTAAAAATATTTTATTATTTCCAAATTTAGCGCATTTCTGCATTCGGCCTAACAAAAGCTGTTTGCTGTGTCACGCCGCCAGCTGGCGGCACACTAGCGCCATCTAGCTGTCGGCATCGCCATGTATAACAGCTAGCATTGCACCCAAATGCTCTACAAAGCTGGCAGCACTGGCTGTAACGGTCGTTCGGCGAGCTAAGCCATTTTCATTAACGGTTATTCTGCCAGCTGTAAAATTTTCACATAGGAACTTGAATGAAAATATTGTATTACTTGTGTGTGGATAATGCGTTTATTAAAAAATATTACATTTCTGACGCTTATGAGCTAAACGAAACTTACGCATATATCATATCATATATGGATTACACATGACAATAATTGATTTTCTTTTGTTTTGATTAGGTATAACGAATAAATAGTTTAGATCTAGAAAAAAAAATTGTGGTTTCTTTTATATTTATATATGTATATAATTTTTGGATTCATTTGCTTTGTTGTGGAGCTAAAAGTGCCGTTGAAAGTGATCTGGCAACGCTGCTGTCGCTGCTGCATGTCAGACGTTATCGCTGTGGGCGTGGCTGCCACCGCCGCCCACAGACGTTAGCTCCATTTTGATGGGCGCCACAGCCGTTGCCACCGATTGCTGCAGCTGCAGCATTTGATAGGCGCTGCTGCTGCTGTTGTTGTTGTTGTTGTTGCTGCTGCTATTGCTGCGCTCCTTGAGCATATCACACTGCGCCTGCGCCTGAGCCTGGGCAAAGCTGCGCACCTGCAGGAAAAGTCCGCCGTTGTTGAGCAGCCGCGCCTGATGCTCCTGCGCCTTGGCGCGCAGACAGGCAATCGAATTGTTTCTGAGGGGAAGATTAGATAGGCGAGAGATTGGAGAGATTAGAGATTGCAGATCCGCAAGCAGTGCTCCATTGCTTACCTAAACGCATCCGGATCGTGCTCCATGAGCGCTGCAGCAGCTGCTGCTGCCGACAAATGATGCGCATGCAGTTGCTGTTGTTGCTGTTGTTGTTGTTGTTGTTGCTGCTGCTGTTGATGTTGGTGTTGCTGCTGTTGCTGCTGTTGTTGCTGGTGTTGAGCTGCTGCTGCAGCTGCTGCCACGGCTGTGTTCATTATCAAGTGGAAGTCCTTGCTGGAGGCAGCGGCGCCAGCGCCTGCTGCATTCGCCGCATCCAGCAGCGGATGGTAGCTGGGCGTGGCAACGGCATAAAGCTGGGCGGGCGGCGGCGGCGGCGGCTGCTGTTGGAGCAACTGTTGCTGCTGCAGCTGCTGCTGTTGTTGGTGTTGCGCCTGTTGTTGCTGCTGTTGTTGTTGCTGTTGCTGCTGCTGCGAGGGCGACGGCGAGCTGAGCTCAATGTGCGGCGAGCCGGAGCTGTTGGTGGTGGCGCCGGTGGGCGTGGTTGCCGCCGACGAGGCAGCCGCATAGCCGCTGCTGCCGTGCGGCGTCGTCGACGTGGGCGGCGCAGTGGAGGCGTTCGTCGGACAGCTGCTCGGCGCCGGACTGACCACGTTCAGGGACTCCGTCGACGAGCTGAGGGCGCGCGAATGCGAGCGCAGCTCATCCGAGTGAACGGACTTGGAGCCAGCCGAATCTTCATGATCGCTGACGCCGGAGTCGTCCTTGAGCGTTGATTGCGCCTCAATTGATTTCCGATGCATGCCTGCCAGAGAGACAGAGAGATAGAGAGAGAGAGAGAGAGAGAGAGAGAGAGAGAGAGAGAGAGAGAGAGAGAGATAGAGAGAGATGAAGCTATTTAGTATATGTTTTGCTTAAAAGTGCTTAAAAGAACTCAGAATGCGTGTTGGAGTGGGACATAAAAGCTTTATGGATTGAGCTTTCAATGAGCTTTTTGAGAATTATAAAGGAGATCAATGAAAGCTTCGACATATCTCAATGCTACCCTAAAAAATCTCTTCCTATTGATCCACTTAGAATTCAATTAGCTTAAAGCTCTTCGATCACCAACAGTTAAAAGGAAAACAGTTCAGAGTAATGGAAAAGTTCAATATTTCATTTACATTTTTCATACTACATTCTTGAGCTTTTGGTTAAACGAAATTCGGAAAAAAAATTCAAGCTTTATATTTAATGGAAGAATTTGGAGCTTAATGGTGGGCGCTTAGGCTTGAAGTGTACCAGGATAGTTAAGTTTGCGAAACGGAGCGTACTAAAAACCTATACAGAGAGATTAGAGCTTTGGTTCCTAGCACTTGTAATGACACCATGCAGAGAGCTTTTAATTAAAAATATAAGAGATATGTATGTTAATTGGAGACATAAGAGAGCCTTGAACTGACAAGTAGGAGAGATGGTACTTAAAGCCCTAAAAGAGCTTCTAGTTAAGGCTTATGATGTTTATCGCATTTAAAGTGATCTATAAGAAGGCTACAAAATCAAGCTTTTATATAGTACTTAAAGCTTTATTTCTTTGTGTTAGCTATAAGCAAAGCAAAAACCTAGAACTGCAATAGGAAATGCTTGAATTCGCCAAGAGCTTTAAGTGAAACTTCAAGTGATCTATAGGAGCTTTCAATATAGTTGCTGTTGCTCAAAGTAAGCTTTCAGTGTAAGCGCGACTAAAGCTTTTAGCTATCCTTAGTCTAAGACGCAGCTCTCAACTTGCTACATTAACTTTCAGCGGGCTGAGACGTAGGAGTTAGGGTAGGCGTGGCTGAACGGACTTAACAGATGGTTCGAGTTTCGCTCATGCAGCCAGCATATGGATGAGAGCTGACTCTGACTCTGGCGAATGCAAATCCCTCGTGGCATACGCCGTGAGTATTGTTATCCCATCAGCCTTTGGCTGTCAGCATTTTGAGCATATTAACTGGTTGGCCTCGCATCAATTGCCAACTAATTTGACATACACATACTTAATTAAAAAAAAAAAATAATAATAAATAAATAAATAAAGGGCAAAACGGGAAGGCAAAGAGAATAACCTCAAAGCTGAGCTGTTAAGCCACTTAAGGCGCGGCCTGGTCCCGTTGCTGCTTGGGAATTAATTTGCGAAACACCCAAAGCATTACCAGAGCTAAGGGTTGTCCGGGGCGAGGGGTGGATGGGTGGATGGGCGGATGGGCGGATGAGGGCAACGGCACAAGTGCCAATAAAACCTGCAGTTCTCACAATGCGAATAGATAAACGATAAATGCCAAATTAAAGCAGCAACCCCAACCCCAACCTCAACTCCAACTCCCATTCCCGCCCCCACCCCTAGACCGACGCACCCTCGGCGTATGCATTTTGCATTTATTAAGCGATTATTAACAAATAAAAGGCCAAAACGCAAGTCAATCCAATGCCAACCACCGACAAGCACTTGTTAAGGGCGCCTGACTGTCAAACCCCCCTACCCTGCCCCGCCAGCCACTGTAAGCCCGCAACCCCCCGCTCTCGCTGCGCCTCGCTAATCCGCAAAGTCATTTCGAGGCAGCCAAAGAAATGCGCGCAACATATGACGACAAATAAAGGGCCGTGGATGAGGAGGCCAAGGGGCTGACGGGGAGGGAGGGAGGGAGGGAGGGCGCAAAGATGCGCCCTGGCTGGCAGGACATGCACGCCAAATATGCTCACAATTCCGATTGAAGGACATCTGAAGTTCAGCGTTACGTATATCTCTCTCATTTTATAATCCCCGAGCTGCTGCCCTTTGTCTCGCTCAAAATTCAATTAAGTCCGTCGACTTATCAACTGAAGGGCCATGGTCAGGGACATGAACGGGGAACGAGGAGCGAGGAGGGGGGTGGGTGTGGTTCAGTGACAGGAACTGGGACGTAAGGACATTGAGGACTTGCTTAGTTAAGATAGTTCGATATGATTGTTGCATTTACATTTCTGTTCCATACCTAGTAGCCAGGGCGCCACCGCATCGTTGTCCTTGGCCGACTTCAGTATCGTCTCCGGCAATGGCAGCGAGTGCCGGACCATGGCCCCGTACAGGCCGTACTCGGCCATTATCGTGCTGCCGCCCCAGACCTTTTCGGTCTTGCGCCATTTGGCGCGACGATTCTGGAACCAAACCTGTAAAAACCAAACCGAAAATTAATTAAATTTATTAAAATTAATTACTTATATATGAATGTAAATTATTGGACTTCGATTAGCTTAGACACTTTTCTATTTGGATTGATTTCAAATCAAACACACTATAAATTTATACATAAGACATGAGACTTATGTAAGACTTGGAGTGTAGCTCTAAAGCAAAGCTCTACGTATCCGAAATTTTTAATATTTTTATGCCCTGAACTCATTGAAAATAGGGGAATCCGTGTATAAAATATTTTTACATTTGCTCAGGGCGACGAGTTAAGTCTATTTAGCTCTGCCTGTCTGTCCGTCTGTCCGTCCGTACATATTTATGAACGCGTCGATCTCAGAAAATATAAGAACTGGAGACTTGAAATTTTGTTTTCCATGTCCGTGTGTATCACACGGTCTAGTCTCCATTATTTTGTTATCGATTCAGAAACTTATCGAAAATTAGTTATAAAAGTATATCTCCAACATCTTTAGAGCTAGAGTCTCCAAATTTTAAATGCAGATATTTTATAGAATTTCGATATTTGTTAAAAGGTACCTTATATCAACCATCAGCTGTATTTCTAATACTGTTTTTCATCTGAAATATGGTCTACAAGAGCTTCATTTGGAGAGGAGTAAAAGCGTTTTACTGAGGGGGTGTGCTCAACGGATAGATGTTTTTTCTTGGCTTGAGTCAGCTCAACTGAGCTTCATCCATCTGCCTATTTCAATATAAAATGAGATATATCAATTGAGATATATCGGAGAGGAAATGGGCTCATAGAATAGACTGAGACTTTACTGTTTAACGCAACAGGAAAAAAATATTTATATGAACAAAGCTCTTCTTTTTCTTTCTTTTTATTTATTTATTTATATGGGACACTTTATTTTTAATCCATTTACTGCATACAAATTCTTGTATTTCTTAAATTAATTATTATATTTTTTTTTATTAATTTATTTTTTTTTTATATGTATATTTATTATTCATTTATTTTTATTATATATTTATTGCTTATTTTTAATTTATTTTCAATTATTATTTTCTTTAATTTCCGGTTATATCTGCGCTTTATCTTAACCTTAACTCTAAGCCCATTTCAAATATCCTATATTTAAAGGCTATAACGTTTTAATACGCTGTACTTGTGTAAGGGTGAATCAAGTGATACCCTGTATTTAAGCAGATCTATTTATATAAGGTGAGCTTGAAACTCTATTTAAGGTCCACCGACTCCATTAGCAGGCGAATCGTTATAGCCAGCTCTGAGTGCTTGTGCCCATTGCTATGTTAACTTGTCTTAAATATCGGGTCTGGTAATAGCGCCATATGGCGTAGGCTACGCTTTGGGGCCATTTAAGTCCGTTGGTCAGTGGCCGTTTGGCTCATCTAGGGCCGCGTGGCGCCTCCCAATGTTGCAGCAGCAGCTGCTGCTAAATGCGATGCAAATTGCGAAATATTAAATAAAAAACTCGTTGGAATTGAAAAAATGTAAATGGAATCTATTCGAAATGCTAATACACGCTCGGACCGTAAAGGCTTTCAGAGGGGACCTAGAGAAAGCAGGGGAGTGGGAGAGAGAGAGAGAGAGAGAGAGAGAGGGAGAGAGAGGGAGCGTGTGTGAGAGAGAGAGAGAGTGTATACTGTGTTCACACACACACACACACACACACACACACACACACGCACACACGCACACATAATAGCAAATAATATACATATTCGCATATAAGTGACCAAATTAGATTATCTTCCGAAACATTAAACCGATTTTCATGCAGAGCCTGACAATAATAATAAGAAAACATTAAATGTTGATCACAGAAGGGCGACAACAACAACTGTCACAATAAAAGGATTTGCCACACGCAAACACGCACACTCTACCCCTCCCCCTTCCCTGCTCAGCCTCTCACTATCTCTGTTTACATACATATACGTACGTATATGCAGAGTCAAGGCAAAGGATTTAACTTTGACTTAGCAACCCTCACAGGAAGTCAGGCCAACCCCTAACCCCGCAACCTGCCACCCCCCCACCCCTCTGGCCCAGCTCGCTCGATGTACCCAAAAAGAAGTCATCATTTTTCTGGTCCATCAAATCGTTTAGTTCTGCTATTAGTCATGTGCGAGACGCAGCGCACTAGAAACTGGGCAGGGGTGCGCTGGGGGGTGGTGGGGCGGTGTGGCGGTCTCGCCCAAGAGATTGCCCAGCAAAGTGAAATCGACGCGACAGAAGTGGCTGGCAAGTGGAGGAAAGCAAAATGAAAATTTATAATAAAAAGCAAAATATGCAAAATAGGTTGGCATTCAAAGGGCGAAGGGCGAGGGGCGAGGGGCGAGGAAGGGGGGGCAGAGCCACAGCCAGTGTTGATAAAGGCTGCGAAAGCAATGTGGCGACATTTTTGCTGAAATTCTTTTTGGCAAAGGCCAAAGACAAGGCAAAATGAAAAAAAAAAGGAAGAAAGCAAAAGCGATTGAACAAATCGCAACAAAAGGGCAAAGGGCAACAGGCAGGGGGCTGAGGCCAGGGGGCTGAGGGTGGCGTCAGCTGCTGTAAACGAAGATAAAGTGGTTTGGCTCCGGCTGCTGCCAGGGGCTCGGCCAGTGGATGCCTACGCATTCAAACTATAAAGAATATTTCCATATATCCCATGATTTATTGAGGTGTGCTAGGTTCGAGGCGGCGTGCGGGGACGGTAGTCGGAAGGGGGTAGGTAGGTAGGTAGGTGCTTACAACTGACAACTTGGCTCATATTTTTGGGCGTTTGAGAAATTGGCAGCGCCCGGCGAATGGCTGGCAGCCACTCAGTGCGCTTCGTTGCAGCCCAGTAAATTTAGTGGCTGAAAAGCCGCCGTTTTGGCCAACTGCCCGGACTGATAGTGGAGTGGAACGCAGCGGAATGGAACAGCAGACTAAATGTGCCATAAGCACTAGTGAGTGAGAGTGAGACACTCAATATCAAGTAGAGCCTATTCATAAGCATAATCGTTACATGGAACGAATGGAATGGAACAGCATTTTATACGACAAATCGTAGCCGTGAGGCGGCCTAATGATGGGAATAGTCTTGGCCTTTATGTTACATAGCTATTCTGTAAAAGAAACGATTGGAATGGAACAGCAGACTAAATGTGCCGGAGGCACTAGTGAGCGAGAGTGAGGCACTCAATGTCTAGCAGAGCCTATTCATAAGCATAAGTGTTAAATGGAACGAATGGAATGAAACATAGTTATTCTGTAAAAGGAACGTTTGGAATGGAACAACAGACTAAACACTAATGATAAACTAATGTGCTTATGATGTAACTAATTAATTAAAAAACATTTCAGTGGCTGGAAGGAAAGAGTGGGGAGCTCTTGTCTAGCAAACAATATTTACAGGGTATTCGCTAGTCTGCTAATGCCGTTCTAATTGCTGCTACACGCGTGGAAGTGCCTTCAGTGTTTGGTTAAGTGAAGCACACTTATGGGAATTGGATCGATGATGGTGTTCGAGTTGGCTGTAGGATGCGATTACCAATTGCATATCAGCGGAACGAAACGGAATGGAACGGCAGGGCATGACAGGGTACGGGCTCAGGTATAGCTGCCAACTACTGATAAATTAATTTACACACACAGAGACACATGGAGCGAGAGAGGAAGAGAGAGAGAGAGAGAGAGAGAGACACATGCAGCACGAGCTGCACTTAAGAGTTTTTGGGGCGTGGCAGCTGGGCAGCTCACAAAAGCCTTGCCTCGCCTCGCCTTACCTTTGCCGCTGGCATTGCCATTGCCATTGCCTTTGCCTTGAATTGGGGCCCCGACACGAGGCGAACGAAATCAAATTAATCCGGTTTGTTATTTCATCATGCAACGTCAACGTCATCATCATCAGTTGCAACAACAGACAAAAGGCGCAGCAGCAACAGCAGCAGCAGCAGCAGCAGCAGCAACAATTTGCAATAATAAATAGCAAGAGCAGCAGCAGCACACACACACACACACACACACATAGTGTCATGTAAACAAACGTCTGCCAAAGGAGCGGAAAATTTCATTAACAAGGCACACAAGCAACAACAACAACAACAAGCAACAACAACAACAACAAGCAACAACAACAACAGCAACAACAGCAACAACCAATTTGCTGCTGCTACTGTGGGGCCTGCATCCGTGCTGGCCATGTCACCAAGAGCTCCTAGGCTTCCCTTCGTATCCCCCTCTTCCTCAGCCCCTCTCTCCACCGCCACCTGTGCCCCTGCCTCGTTACAAGCTGCTGCGAGCACTGATAATTTAATCAACTCTCATTGAATTATATCATTTTGCAATTTGGCGCTGCTGCATGCAACATGCGACAAGCATTGCCATGCCATGCCTCCCCCCCTCGCGCCCCCCTCCCCCCGTGCTCCCCTTGCCGTACGCTCCCTCCATTTGGCCAACGTTCATTTCCATGCAAATTCAATTCTCATTATGATAGCAGCCAACGAGCTGTCGTCCCTCATTCGAGCGTCCATTTTGAGTGCGGAAATCAAAATAGGAAATGCCATAAATTTGCCCCAAAACGGAAACTCGTTGCCTATGCATCAATATATATGTGTGTGTGTGTGTGTGTGTGTGAGATGGAGAGATAGATAGTATTGGTTGTACGCCTGCTGTGCCTAGTGGCTTTTTTTTAGGTACCTTAAGCTGACTTTGTGTTTGCAATCCAACTGGAATCTAATTGGACTCGCAGAGCACACTAACTAGAGCTGATTCAGGTGCAGTTAGAGTTTCCTTAAACAGTCTCTTGTCTAGATTTACTTCGAGACAAGACTAACAGGCTTATTAACAGTCATTTATATAGAAAGACAGGTAAATTCATAAAAAAAAATGAAATACTATAAATTGGGGTATATGCATTTCCCATTTGCTATGTCCTTGAATGCGAGGCTCTCTTAGATGATTACTGACTGGATAGAAAGATATACAGTAAGTAACATTAATATTCGGCTTTTTTATTTCTCA